AAGGGGAATGTATTTAATCTTAGAAATCCAACGCTGCGATTAGGCTCAAATTTCTGTCAGCTGTAGCTCTAATTTTAGTTTTAGTTTAGTCACTCTGCACGGTGACAGTTGGATCGCAGCAAACAGCGTGGAGGTCTTCTCCAGTGGTTCTCAGATTAATGATCCAATCAGAGCCACGCCAGTGTTGGGGTTCTGAAGTCCCTTTTGGGCCATTGCCCTTTTTTGGATTGTTTTTGGTTGCCCAGTTTAGGACGTGTCCCTTCTAGTTCCAACGAACTAGAGTTAAAATCGGTGAAATAGCACTAGGTGCAGGATTTGTTAGCCTTAGGTGGATTTGTTTTGTAGAATGCTCTGGTTGTTAGTTCTCTAAGCGCTGCGATAGACCTTTTTGGTTGAATGAACATACTAACAGTTGGGTGGAAGTTTTGAATAAATACCATTTTAAAGAAAAGCTCATCATCCATCCCCACTTTATCCTTTGGCCCAAAAAACTGCTCTCAGCAAGCGACAGTCACTCTGCAGGTCTCACCACCTTCGGTCTCCAGCCAGTCCTCCTCCCACAATCACAACTGCTCCTCCTCGCCGGTGCACGTCATGGCCTGCTGGCCCCAGAAACTTTGTTGTTGAGTTTGTGTTGGGCATGAATTAGATGGAGCACAGTTCAGATGTGTAGTCTCTGCTCTCTTTTCAGTGAGGCTATAATCATTACATGCAAACGGATCTGTTGCTGTTTTTGTTTTGTTTTCTCTCTCGTTGCAGGTGTAGAGGCAGACTTCAAATGTGCTGTGTTGTGTTCTCTCTATACTTCTCTACTATTATCTCCTTGTTTCCCTTTTAATCTCGTTCTTCACCTTTCTCCTTTTCTTTTCTGTCTGTGTCCATTATATCTAAACAATCCCTAAAAATTTCTAATTAAGTTGCAAAAAATAAATACAAAATAAGAAACTTCTGCAGCTCTTCCAGACATGTGGTAGAGAAGTGACCATCAGAAGCAGCCATTGAAAGAGGGAACTTCTGACCCACTCCACTGGGCAACATGCTTTCTGAACCAATAACAGCTTCTTAAAGCAGTTTGATACAAAAAAAGTAGTTGTTTCACCAGATTGAGTGTATAAAAGTGTGGACGAGACAGATGAAGGTTTTTTTTGGATGATATTCCCTACAGATTTCTGAAGCAAACGCACAAAACAGAGAGAACCCCTTTGGATTGGGGCCAATGGAGGCTCCAAAGACTGGAAGGACTATGAAGACTGAAGATTTCTGAAATCTGAATTTACGAGCTGAAGATTTGAACATCAAGTTTTAACAGCCTTTTTGTGGATTTCAAAGTTTCATCAAGTAACCAGACACATGGACAGAGGGAGTAGACAGTCTTGGGATTCCAGTTAGCCTCAGAGTCTGTAGTTTTGGAGAGTGAACCAATGGACCTTTGATTAGAGGACCCTGTAGAGACTGCCTTACTCAGGGAGATTTATTGTTATTTGAGGCACAAGATTCCTAATTTTCTTCATCCTGACCAACCATTTTATTTCAACTTACTGCAGCCTGAAGAGTTAAGGAAAGATGGATTTGATTTTAATGATTTCATTGATGTCACATGATTTTTGCCATGCTGCTGAATTTGCGCTTCTGCAGTTCCCCACATCTGCCAATAATATGAAAACATGCAAGAGAAACTTCAGGAGTCGTGGACATTCTATTTCATTGGATTCCCTTATGATGTGATTCTTGAATGGTGTTTAAAAAAAAGCAAATGTGCTGGTTCTTAATAACTACAAGGTTCTTATTGGTTGCACTTAGTCCAAAATTATCAAAACATTGGGCCTCATGCAAGAACATGTTCGTATTCTTCTCCTAAATTTCTCTTACTTTTGTTCGTACAAAGGGTTCGTACGAACATGTCACGTCAGATTCAACAAACTCTTCTATCTTCAGGAAAAGTG